ACACACATACAGAATTATACATACTCAAATGAATTGGTATGGCTATAACCATATAGCCTAAATGAGTCAGAAGACTGAAATAAGGTTAAACTCAGATCAGACCCAGAAGGATTAAGCTCTGATAAAGCATTCCTGTTAATTTTTGTTACATTCTTATAGAATGTTAATGTTTTGTGTAACAAAATGCTTTGTTCAGGTTTGAATGTAGAAATAATGCAAAAACCTACACTTCAAATCAATTAAAACAACAAAAAATATAAACATTGACAAAAAGTAGTCTTTGAGAATGCCTAATATACATTTAAATCCACAACCTAATAAAAGTAAATTATGTATAAAAACAGCTAGGGAATTCACAATCCTCTCTATAGAGTCCTACACAGGAATCTAGTGGTTACACCATGAAATTGCAGTTTTTTTTTTGTTTGTTTTTGCTCACCAGGAGGTGCTATTCTGCCTTCAAAATTGAATTTTAAAGGCCTAGTCTCTATTTTAATCTGAAATACTGCATTAATTGAAAAATTATTAAAAAAAATGTACTATTTTCAATGGGAAAAAAACTGTCATAATTATTGCATACATATTCGTGCCAAAAATTCTCAAAATACAAAAGAAAAAAAATATTGAAAAAATGTTAATTGCTTTTACTGAAGAAAAAAAAGTTACATTTCAGGTGTCCGGTCACTTTTGACCACGAACAAACAAGTGTGACCCCCAAATGAACAATACCGGAGGGTTAAAAATAATACTGTTTTTGTGTCACTGAATGTAGTTTTAAGAGTTTTTTTAGGCTAGAATGTACTTGTTTAGACAAATAATTAGATAAATATGCGGTTTGTTAATAAAGATAACGTCTATTTGAAAATTTGCATCAACGTTTTCGGAGAGCAGCCGTTCAGTGCTCATGAACTGAACTCATGAGCAGCCTCACCTCGGCCAGATCTTCTGGAATTTGTCGCTGGCTCTGATATCTCTATAGTGGCTAAATGCCAAGTGAGATATAATTCGCTTTGGATAAAGACCCCGATATACTTCAAGCGAAATCGAAGAACGATCTGATGTGACGTCATTTCAAAGAAAAACTAAGTTCATTTTATGTTAGTTTTGGGAGTTCGAAACCGCTTGCCAAAGCAAACTTTCCGGAAAATTTAGAAAATCTAACGGGACAGTCTTTGGTCTCATTAATCTATTATTTGTTCCGGTGCAAATAGTTTTGGCTGAGGGCAAACTCTCATCACGTTAAATTTTATTTAACTTTAATGCAGTATAGCGCTGCCTTTGTGCTTTTGACTGAATTGTCTCAACTTTTATGACGCTGTTGTTGTTTATTAAATATTATTATTTAATTAATAGTATTTACTATTGTGTGTTCGTGATGGTGATTTTAGTTACATTATTCTGCCATTAGATGACGATAAGAGACTGTTTTATGAGTCAGCAGTAAAGACTTTTATATTGAAAGAGACTGAAACAGGGTTGTAAACAAGGAAGTCATTTTACTTTCAACAACAGCTTGTAAAATGCAGTTAACAAATGCAGTGAGCAGTGCTGTCATCAGAAATCACCTTTAACAGATGAAAGATAGTACAATAAAGATATCACTTTCCTCAACGGATATTCAAACTAATGTTTTATTGTGAATATGAGATTGATCTGAAGAAATAGTACAATAAAGATATCACTTTCCTCAACGGATATTCAGACTAATGTTTTATTGTGAATATGAGATTGATCTGAAGAATGAATGCTGTAGCAGATGCAGGTAATCACACTCGCTCAGTCCATCTCTCTCTCATCATACAGTGAGCTTTTAATACAGTAATACAATAAGCTTCCAATTAAGCAACTCAACGTTCCTTCGTTACTAGTACTAAAGTGACGTTTTCGAATTAGTAATGGAGGCTTTAGCTCAGCTGTTAAACTGGCAAATTGAGATTTGAATCCGTGGCGGAAGGAAGTACTTCCGCACAAAAGAGGGTTTTAAAGACACTCCATTGTTGTCTTTTTTATTTACACACTCGTGCCATCGAACTGTTGTATAAATGCAATACCACACTCCTAGACATGAGATATGACTGTATATCAGCACAGATATGATTACCTACAGCTGAATCACAGCAATGCCGATATAAAGCCATATCTCACATCTGCTCATGTGATATTGCTCATTTATTTATTTATTTCGCTTTTTATGTATATAAAAATGTTAGCTGTCCAATATGCAAAATTAATCAAATGTTTCAAACACATACTGTATGTCATTAAGTTCTGTTTCTGAATAAATAAAGCAGTAATTATGTATTCAAATCACGTGCTTGTTTTAGTTAAAAGCTTTCCTACATGTAATGGTCAGAGCCTATCCTACATGAGGAATAAAAATCACAGCAAATTATGTAATATAATGTTATTTCAAACGAACAAGGAAAATAAAGTGGGTTGAATCCAAGGAGTTTAAAAAGATTTTAAAATAGTTATCTGCATCCATCTGAAGGCACTCCATCTGTGCAGTGTTGAATGCTCTGTTGTTAGACCATTTGAGAGAGCTGGTTAGTAACTGATTACATGTAGTCTGGATTATGTAATCAGATTCCAAAAATTAAGTACTTTTAATTAGTATATTACATTTTAAAATGCTCATAATCAGATTAAAGTTACTTTTTTTATGGATTACATGATTACATATCATTCACACAATGGCAGTAAATTATTCCAAATTCATTGATTTTCCCAAATTCTTCTATTATTCTCTTT